TTCCTGGATGGGGACCCCGAGACGGGCCACATCAATGGCTAGAGACATTATCAGACATGGCCCAGTCGCGCCCTCAGTGGCGCTCGTGCATCGAAGCTATTGCCTTCAATGCATAGCTTCTTTTCCACCCCCCCGCTTGACAACTCACTGACAGTGCTGGATTTATGCACCAATTTACCAGCTCGCGCGTGCAATGCGCAGCTACTTACCCCCCAATCATCGGTGAACGAAACTGTGGCAGCTACAACCAGTGTACGACCAGTACGCGGTTATTACAGCTGATAATGATGATGACGATGATAAGTGAGCTTTCTCAAACTCATTTTGGTTGATCAACCGATTATCTCTAATACACATCCTCAATCTTACTGGTGGTGGAATGTACGACAGTGATTAGGGTAAGTCATCCCCAGCATTCCCAACGGTTCATTCCCGGTTCACTCCGGAGAGCTGAGGCTGATATTTTTAAATCACTATCCCTACTCTTCACTTTAAATCCACGCACGTAAATGTATGACTTTAACATGCCCATGTTATTTTCGTTTTATTGCAGGTGACGATATCTGTGGTTCCCACTAGCATGACTTAATGATACACCCCACATCCTGTCATTTATGCACACTGGGGCTATTTGGATAGTCTTTTAGTAGTTTGGTACATACAACTGCCTGGGCCAATCATGTCCCTACTGAAAAACTGCAGAGTGTCCGTCAAGCGGGCACCCATGGATATTGATCCTGACGCTTCCAGTTACACACCCGGCGTTATTTTAGAAACTCGCAACCAGGATGGTGCTCTTCTGTTCGAAGGGGGTGCTATTGTTCATTTGTGTCCGTATGATTTTTCTGTCAGACGAGTTCAATTCACCAAACTGGCCGATGCTTTCGCTTGTCTCGGAGTACTCACTCTCCCAGCCTCCCAGGCGTCAGATTCAAATGGCCCTGTCCCCTTGTCCTATTTAGTTTTGGTAACTGGTTGTACTCTTGTTGGAAAACTCCCAGATCACGAGGTATACCGTATTACAAATGTTCAAATTATATCCCTGCGGAGTCCCAATTCAGAAGATGACGGGGTTTCCGAAGTAAGTTCCGGACTTTCAGTGGTTCATTATATCACTTTGTGTCTTGGCATGAGGTATCATTGTTTACCCCCTCTCTATGATAGCTTTATAAATCTTATTTCAAGAAGGTTAGTTCATATTTATCCCTGCACCCTGCGTCCTGTCGATTGCCGTGTGATTTTCATTAGCACCTCACCAACCAAGTTTAACCGCTTGTGTGTATTGATGAAGTGTTCAAGCTGCCCATACAGTTCATTGATACTTGACACGCGACTTCTTTCTGTGTACTAAATGTATAACTTGTCATTACAAGTTAACTTCACAATTCTTCTGTGGTGACCACTTTTTGGTGCCATCATTCGATTTTTGTCAGCTCTGCTAGTCGGGCCCTTCGTATTCACAGCTTAACTCAGAGTGGCTGTTGGGTTAGGTGTGACCTACCAAGCGATTTGCCGTAATTCGAATCTGTTTATCGTTTTCCCGAATGTCTTTGTTTGGACCTGAGCAACCTGGCAGCATCACAATGATCGCGTTCTCGATGTGTCACCGGTTAGATCATAATCGTCATCATCAGACAGCAACATCAGTGTTGGCACTGATGCTTCACTACTGTACCACCGGTTACTTACAAATGGCTCGATTGTTATGGACCCATAAACAGGGGAGTGATTACCGGGAATTTTACCCCTTCATCTTTAATGTCCCCTCCTTTTTTATACTTTAGGATTATTGACACTAAACTATTCCAAAAAATGCAAATGGAAAAGCCGGTAGTTCATTTTTTAAAGTGCAACTCATGTGTCAAGATTAGTAAACCACATCTCGCTGCCGTATTACATCACGCGTGACGCGCAATTAACCGTACCTGACTAAAGTCGAGGAATCACGTCTACGCTTGAATCTGTGTTGGTGTTTTCTACCCTTCTGGTGGACTTCTATTATCCTTGTCTTTTAATCACAATATCCTCTGATATTGGAATCCAACCTAATCTTGTTTTTTACTGGTTCAGGCAGCTTTGTGTGACGTAGTATTTCATGACTGACTGGCTATCATATCTTATCACAGCGTCAGTGCTTGGCACAGCTGAGTGACTGTCACGTACCTACAGACTGGAAAGAACCGAGGACAAGGTTGGAGCCTTCCAGCTTGAATCAGCAATCAGTGCATTGGAGGCTGATGTGTTACTCAGCTCTTTTTCAATAGATTTTCGATGACGCAGAAAGGACAAACAACCAAACTTAAGAGATATGCGTTTTTCGCTCCATGAACCTTTGACGACAAGTTGGTTTAGACTGGGGTCGATGGCACGTGTTGGCAGAAATCATCTTTACTACCCATTCTGAATTAACGCGACGCAAAGAACCCATATTCTGCTCTTTGTCGGTCACCGTGAACTGGAAGGACGGCTGAACGGAGCTGCTCTTCAGTCTATATTTTTGGCATCTACGTTTCTTCTGGGACCCTGTGTAGTTCCACTCTTGAAAATGCCAACTTCGTCATCCGCCCCTCTCCGTGCTACTGTTGCTAGGACGTTTAAAAACCTGCGCTCGGGTTAAGATACAATCCCCTACCACTGAAACTATCATAGTTCTTCCAAAAGGGCACATAAAGCATTCTATTCATCTTTCGGTTCTTTCAGGCCTCTGTGGACGCAGTTTGACGAAACTAACTGCGCGGTACCACTTCCCTTCGGATGGGGCAAAACATAACACCAAATCTCTCTGAAGCGATAATATTAGGGCAGTTTAGAAACCTCTAGATTTCTTCCCATTAACCAAACTTACTGAGATTCTCTATGGGTGATGCCGGAACACCTTTTATGGTACAGGAACCATCGCGATTTGATGTCTAGTTGCAAATAAGAGCTCAGCTGGTAAGCAGTACGGATACCGGTTTCAGAGCTGCATGGTCGCTGCAAATTTAACGCTTAGACCATCTGATATTAAAAATCATTTGCACAGGCTGTTGCTTATCTAAGTTGCTCATACGACAAAACAACTACGGGAAATCAAGTCTACAACGTTGCAGAGTGTGTTCAGGTGAAAATACTCATTTTCATATATGAATAAAACACCAATATATATATATATAACAATATACAACAATATGCCTAAAACACTATAACATAGTGAGACGTTCCTGTTGACAAACATAGTCGATCTCATCTACTAACAGTTTCAGTCAGAAATATTAGAAATCATTCGAGCAACGGTCGAGAGATGGTAATAGAAAGAAGTCGGGAGACGGACAGAGGCAGTGAGGAAATCACAGGTATGTTTCAAAGAACATGTGGGGCAAATGAGAAGAGGTAATGGACCGGGTTTATTTTACTGTTCAGACCACTGATGTTACGGAAGGGCGTCTTGGATTTGCCAAAAGAGCAGCGGGGTTTCACTAATTTGTGTATACACTTGTCTGTTCGATGAATGGGAGGTCCGTATGTAGGCTTAAAGCGGCGAACTAAATGAGACTCATTCAGATGGAGAGTTTGCAATTCGCTGGTTTTAAGCCACCCTTATGACCCAGGATACCGTGAACATAATCATTACCTGTGGTGATTGACCAAAACAGAGTTTATTAGGGTTACTAAAAAAACGAGCCGCTTATAGCAATCTGTACAATCCACTGAAGCAGACATTCAGATCTGTCCCTGTCGCTTAGGGTACAGAAGCCACTCGTCCACGGAAAAGATGTGGTTGCCTGCTCTTGCTTTGAGCTATACAGGTCAGGGCCGCGCCTTGCAAGATACACAGAGATGGTCGAATGGGATCAACGGATTGAACGCAACTTTGTGTCCTTAAAACCAGAAAATTTGGACCAACGATGGTGTTTTCTTAGTTTGCGTTTGATTCATCCTTTATCGCACTGATTTCTGTGAAACTAAGAAATCGTTCCAGGCAACAAGGTGGTCCTGAGAATGTTTCAACGTATTTGCACGCTTCATACTTATTTAGATACGAAAGCTATTGTCATCGGGCGCCTTCTTCTTTGGTCGATCAGTGATTGATGGGAAACCTTATGATATCACAGTGAACATTCAAGATCGATATCGACTGGGTTCGGTTACTGCGGCGACCGAGAATATGTACCTTCGCAACGACATTGGATTGGACTTCTTGTGGAATGCTGGCCTCATGTACCCGCTGCTACACTGGGGTATTAATCCTATGGATTGGCTGGTTCCCATCATATGTGGCTCCTTCGATCTGTGTGTAGTGTTTTGCGGTTCGGAACAGGCACGAATGGGCTTGATATCCAGAGTTTCGTCGCGAAGACCTGGCACCCGCTTCCACGTGCGTGGTGTTAATGATCGAGGCTATGTGGCCAATTTTGTGGAGACGGAAGAGGTTAGTCTGTCTTTTTTATTTTGCATATTTGTTGGATGGAATCTCTTGAAACAGAACACAGGGGTGAGGGGGTTTTGACTGGACCTCGAGAATTCAGATCCAATTTTCATTTTTTTTTATACTGTTCAGGTCATTTATGCTCGTTATTCATCTCCGAAACGCATTCCTTTGTAGGGACTATGTAGAATGCTCCATCAGATGCGTGTATTACTGTCACTGATTGTTCTGCTCCCCCTTTCTCACCCATGCACAGCTGTCTTCGCTGTTGGCAACGAAACAGTTATACAGTGATTGTACCGTAGCCCCGAAGTTAAATATGACACCCCTTAATATACTCCAGCTGTACGTTCCACAGCATGACTACACTTTGTGGACCGAAGCACATACCGGAAGGCTTTTCAAGTAATGCGCTTCTTGCTCTCTTTCAAAAGCGAGAGCAATATGGTTTGCATATTCTACGTCGACAAGGTGCTCGCTCGGCGACCCCTGAACACCAGGGTTTCCGAAAACTTCAAGGGTTCGCCTCATTACTCTATCAATAGCGAAATCGTACGTACTTCTGGGGCATACTGTCGCGCAAGCGTATTCAAAATAATCATCCGGTCGGCAGAATCGAACGCAGTATTGAAGTCGAGGAACACTAAGACTGCATGAGGCCTATACACTTACCGTTGCTCTAACACTTGACGGAGTATAAAGGGGTTTGGTTCACACAGCTCCTTTGCTGCCGGAATCCTCCTTGCTTTCCCCGGATCCCTTTTTTACGCGCCTTCGTAAGACCACATAAGATGAGCGACACAGTCAGGTTAGAACGCGGGCCAAGCTAATTCCTCTGTGATTGCCAAACTCAATGCGAGCACCCTTTTTGGAAATGGGAGTGTTTTATTTGGAAACTGGATCTGCCGGCTTTCGTCTGTCGCTAGTACTAAATGCAATGGAACCTACTGGATTGGCTGACTTCTGCCGTCTTGATGCTGAGTTCCTTCAATCAAGTTTTCATTGCTTACCTGAATTTTGTAACCTGTAACTGATGACTCCCCCTTTAGGGTGGTAGCGTGGTCGTTGTCGCGTAGCCGAACTACGTCTGTTATTGCCTCCGTGTTATTGCCCCCCCCCCGTGGCTTTCTACTCAGAAGACATGTCACGGACGCGAACAAAGTCGATATTAAACGAACCAGTTCCCTCGAATCCATTTCGCTGAATAGCTTTAGTTCTAGACCTGACGCAGATACCTGATGGGTAGTGTAATCACGCGGAGCGACTTCCAATTGGTTTGAGTTGCTGGATTCTTGTATGTGCTTTTCAGACACAGTATTCCGACAGAAGGGGAACAAACCATGAGCAAAAGATATACCCACCAGCCAGGCTGATGTCCAGAACGGTTAGGTGAAACAGGTCATATGAGTTTTTTTAAATTATCACCTTGATTTATTATGCTGGACTGTCGTTTAGACACGGGATACTGTTCGATAGTTAACGAGCAAACAGTCGAGTAGGTCGGGCCGAAAAATTAAGTTTTCTTGAGCTCTTGACCCAACGGTCTGGCGGACAAGGTAACCAAACTTCATAGTTTTTTTTGAGGGCCTGGCCGTGAGCCGGTCGTTTGGTGACCAGACTCATTCAGATTTAAGCGCTACCCTGGGAACGTAGCTAGTAAGAAATCGAAGTTTAAGTCTAATACTTTTGCGGATAGCGGAGGTGTTTGGTGCCGTGTAGGGCTATTGATAAGGTATTAATTCACAATTAGCCACTGGAAATTCGGAATGTGCGAATTTGGGATCCGACCTCTTTGACTCGTAATCTATCGGATGCATGCCATTTCTAATTGCGCAAGTGTCGAAATGTTCACACACTTCTGCACTTCTACAGCAGAGTGCAGTATATTCTTAGTTTGAGACCCTGATGGTGCTCTTCGTTTGGAATCTCCGTTCTAGTATTCCTAGAGAAACAAAGTGTCAGACAGTTCAGCAAATTGAATTCAAGCTACATCCAAGGTCAGCTGTCATTCTACTTGGTTGTTGCAGATAGGAAAACTAGTACAATCAATCTAACAACCGGGACAGGTAATCCTCTTTTGCTAGCTGCTCACGTAAATGCGGGTAGGACGGTTTGATCTGCGAAACTTCAACCTATGGATTTCCTTTGATGGAAAATGGAATTCTCTCTGGATATTCTCGGAAGCACTTAATTGCCATCCGAGATTCTTCACATTACTAGACGTTGGGGTATTACGTTATTCGTTTCATGAGGAGTCTAGAAGTCTCCGTATATTTGACGCATCATGTTTCATCTTCAACTTCCCATCCCTTTCTTTTAGTTCGTCTACATGGGCAACATAGTCACCAGTCATGTCCAGATCCGTGGGACAGTCCCATTATTTTGGGAACAACCTGGAATACAAGTCGGCTCACACAAAATCCAATTTAGTCGCGGATTGGAACTTTCTCTCAATGCGTTTGAACGCCACTTTATGCATATATCGTCACATTACGGCGCAACTGCCATCGTCAACCTTTTGGGATGTAAGCAGGGTGAAGCTCTACTGAGTCGAGCTTACCAGGACTTGCACAAGCAGTCATCTTTCAAAGTGAGTTATGTATAAAATTCATTGTTGGGCCCATCGCGATTGATCGTGCAAATCGACTTCTAAAGTGTATTTCACATACATACCCTTTCCACTCTGTTTGTTCAGTGTGGTCTGCAAAGCCCAATTAGTTTGAGCCGAGGTTTGATCCTGCAAGTGAAAGCAACCTGCGTTGAGAAGCCAAGAACCACTGTGCAGTTGTTTCTCCTTGCTTGGGAATCATCGACAGTGCGCATCTCGCGATTTCTTTGAAAACATTAACCCCAGGCTTTCCGGCCGTGAATGAATTCTGAGCATTTTGAAATGCCTACCTTTGAACAGGACCTAGCCCCGCCCGTCCGATTTTTCCCAGGGATTCGTAAGCTGTGCACCACTGAGGATTTTCCACAAGGATTGAACATCTTTACAGTGCCCTCTGACGCTTACTGTCAGAACGGTATCTCAATCGGAGACCTAAAAATTTAGCCCCTTAAACCTAATTATCTCCGAACAAAGACCGCTTACAGGGAACGCCTCAGCTGGTCTTATATGGGGATAGGGACGGTCTCTTTTGGGAGAATTGCCCCCTACCTACCTTACTGGCAAGTACAAATGCATGCACCTCAGATTTCGATAATAATACTGTGACACATTGAAACTGTTGCACTAACAATTCTCCTCCATAACGCCTGCAACATAACAAACGTTCTCTTTCAAACACAAATTCGCCGTCCATGGACACCATCACTAATTTCTCTCTTGAAACCATAACACTATAAATGCTAACTAGTGTTGCACCGGAGACTCAGTTGAGTACCAACTTCTGTGCGTTCTCTTTGCAAATATCATCACTCCACTGTGGTTGTTCTGTCCAGTGAGGAACAACTCTGGCGCCAAGGCTTTCTACCGCTGTGTTTAGCATACACATACATATATACAGATATATTAAATGCTTGGCGGGTGATGACAGTGATTTGAATGGCGGGACATCATCAGGTAATATTTTTGTTCGACCTGTGTATTACAGCCCTTTCACTGGATTATCGGAACAGGTCTGCTGATGTACAGCCAGACTTTCAGACGACAGTGTGCTGTGCTCTTGTAAAGAAATTCCCTATTTGTATCCCAAATTGGCAAGTACATTGAGTAACAAACCCATGCACTGCTATTCTTCAGGTTTCTGATATGCTCTACCATTTGAAAATGTTTAGGTGTTGTGACTTGGTGAACGGTCGTGCAACTCTGTATTGATCCTTGGCTTCCTGCTCCGCCCAGTGTGATATATCAAAATGCACGGTGGCTCTAGACAGCCTTTTATGGAGGCTGATGAAGATAATTTTAGGATAATCACAGAACGTTCCACAAGGTCATGCTAGAATCTCCGTGAAGGGGGCGGGGGTTAGAAGCGTCGAGCTAAAGATGCTCGATCCAGATTGGCTGGCATTCTGACCAGTCAGCGCATGCCTTCGTGTGGTCCGTAGCCCGCACGTGACATCCGTCTGATTGACGTGCTGTTCGGTTATTGGGGGTGACTGGCCTCCGGAGAGTAGGATTCCAAGCCCTTATTCCAGAACCACCGTAGAGTAGAGAAAACCTCATCAATGATGTGCGACGAATTGAAGATACAGATTTACACCTTGTCTGGATAACCAGTGTTAACCAATGCTATCATAGAACGGAATAAGGGTTTTTCGGATTCGTGTAGCTGAAAGTCATATTCTACCCCGTTGCCCTAGTTCAGAAAAGCACAGAACACATCCTGATTTTTGTGTGAGAGGAAATTGCTCCTAGGGGACACCTAGAGTAGCCTTCGTTGGGGATGGGAGAGGTCTCCCAAAGGGTTTCATCTTTCTTGGGGTGACATTTTGGAGGAGAAGGCTGATATATTCGGGTTATCCTCGAGTCGCGTTTTACTTTAGCTTCAAACATAATCTGGGAATTCATTGGTGTTGGACAACGGTAAGCGTAAGTTCAGATAACTATCTGTTCAGTCTTATCGTTAGCTATCCTCAGAGCTAAATGGATGCTCCTTGGTGAAAGCCGCACCTCTAATGAGAATGCGGTCAAATCCCGGTAAGCTCTGTCACAAGGACTTTTTTCCTTCTCCGGGACTGTACGGGGGTCCTCGTCTACTCAAGTAATACAGTTTGGCTGTTCAACAGCATGTGGTCCTAATAAATCGACGGGTGATTAAGACAGCGTCATGTATGTCGATTGCCACAAGTTGCGTTCTGTTCAATAACGCTACCTATAACCCCTTGACCAAGTGATGTTTTTGTTTTGGCGTGGCTAGATATTCGTACAGTTAGACGGAAGTGAAAACACTCGGATTGTGTCCGTTGCAAAGAAGCCGCTCGAATTTTCTGATTTGTGTTCACCGGGTCTTGACAAATTATCGTCCCACGAACTAAACCACGTGGAGACCCCTAGATCGAGTCACCTTACCCTTTCGTGGTCATATGTAGCTTTTTGGATCGAAGTGGAACGATAGTCCGCAGGAACCCTGTCTTTGGAAAAGCCGTACGTGTTCGGTATACTTGGAGCTGTGCATCGATGACAATCCATGCGAATGGGTTGGAGTAAGACAAGTATATGGTCAACGGGTGGAAATTGATGCAGTGTTTCTCTTTTCCGGAATGGTGGCAGCAGATTGATTTAGTCACCTGTAGCTCTTCACTGTACAACAAGCCGAACTGTGCTGGAGGTCACAAATATTCAACCTCTAAGGTGAACCGAATGGTTTTTCTCCCTTGGGGACATATTCTTGAGCAAGGGGTGAAGGTGCTCATGGTTTCTGAACTGCACCTGAACGAATAATCCTAGTACGTTGGGCTTATCCTAGATATGTGCGAAACGAAGTCTACTTATCGAGTACAGTGGTACTATCTGGAGACGGCTGCGTCAGTCCACTCTCCGTACCCATGATTCTTTTGTGACTAGCCGGTTAGCTATCAACCAAATTCGCCTTCGGATCAAGCCGCTAATGTTTGAAATTCAACTGTACCAACACTAAATACTTGTGCAACACCGCCCCAACTACAATGTCTACATTTGTAATGCTACACTTCTGTATGTGGCTGAGAAAGTGTCCGTCAACTTTTCTGCTGCTTAGCGAAGCTGGCGTTGTACAGTTAGTGTACGGTGCAGCAGCAATACGGTTGACGTTGCCATACAGTACAGTCTATTTGGATTATGCAAATGACTATCTGTATGTTGAGTGTTTACCGAGGCCACTGTCTGTTCATTAGGATTCATTCTGGAATATGAACTAGTTATATCAACCACCCTTATCGGTGCTGCAGAGCGATCATGCAAAAAGATGACACCACGGCGAAGCGGATTTTCACCCCCCCCCCCTAAATCGTGAACGCTAAATCCTCGAGGACGCTGCTACGGATGACTCAGAGGAGTGGCCCCTGTTTGAAAACGTCACTAAATATCCATCAGTCATGATGCGTCTTTCAAGTCAATGTGATATGTGGGGACCAATTCGCCCATCAATAACCTAATAATTGCTGTTTTAAACGGTATTTTTTGTTGGCCCTTTGTAATTTTTCTTCTACACTTGCCGACTTACCACTCCGTACGATCTGTTGATAATCCTGTAGATGTTAGGCAGAACAATTTGCAATTGTAGCAGGTGAATGTTAGTTCAATGATCCGAAAAAAGACTAGGTTTCCATGCCTCAGTTTAGTACAGGATTTTCATTTCATAAGTCAGATAGAAAAACGAACTTGCGTAGGAATCAGAGAAAACACTTCATAGGGTTAGTTTTCTTGCACTACCTTTGCCTGGAGGGTAGGCTCTATTATCAGTTTGATTCGAATTTCAAGCAAGGATTCATTTATTACCCTGGGTATTCGTGTTGAATGTCATTAGGTGAATGAGAACACCTTAGGATAATGAATCTTTAATGGTCCTACGATCTCGTTTCACCAGCAAAACTGGAAGCAAACCAATAAACTGTAAAGCCGTATGATCAGAGCTTCTGGAAGCTGAAGTTAGGATTCGGGAATCCTGTACGGATGGTGATTAGTCGATTGTACACACGGTCAAATACTAAGGACGAATGAGGATACTCAGATTCAGAATAGCTTAAATCTATTGCGCGTGGAAGAAAAGGCATTGGCTTTGTGGAACTGGCTTTGCTAAATATCAGTTGAGCTATAGTAAGATTGACACAGACCAGCTATTTCTCAAGAAGACAATATTATAGTTTCCCCTTACTCATTGCTGCTCCTATTGGACCCCTTTCAATAAGTCCTTCCGTGAATCTCTGTGTGGAGCTGCCAAGGCAGACTCAACTCTTACAATAGCTACCGTATCATTCCCCTTTATAGTCTTTGGAGTACCATTCGGACATAGGCCCTGTTAAACTAAAACGAGGCTCGAATGATAGGTCGGACGAGACGTACGCCAGCGGTTAGAAATCATTACTTTTATCAAGTCTCTGGTATGTGTATCTCCCCCTCGTTTTTAGCTCAAAGATTTACAATCAAACAAAGGAAACTTTCGCCGTGATTTAGTTAGACAAACCAGAACACATAAATGTAAGCAGTGTGCAGGCTGAAAGCTGAGTTTGCACAGCCGTCAATGAAGAAAAAACTTCTCTCATACGAGGACCGCGTTTCAAGTGATTTTTTAGAAGTAATTCTGTTCCTTAACAGGAACGCTCTCGAGTACTCACTCGCTTTCTTTATATCCATTCGGGGACAGTTTTTGTCCCCCATAATGGCGGTTTCATTTTCATCAAGAGGTATGATAATTCATCCCCCCTTTGCAGTTTACCGAAGCCTACTAGTCTTATTCTCTTGACCATCTGGTCTCTTCTGTACTGCACAATCCAATGGGCTTTCTTGCGTTAACTTGGCTTCACAGAACCAAATCGTTTGTTGAGAAACGTTACACTTGAAATGTGAACTTGATGTTTTGAAGTTGTCGAAGCAACGGCTCGATGTGCTTTGATGGTTTACTCGTCCACTGAGCTTGGCAATTTTTATGACAAATGTTTCGCTACCAATGA